CGATTAAGGGTAAGCGAGATACGCTCAAATGCGTATTTTCAAAAATGACGTCATAGCTTTAATTCTCTTTCTTTGAATTCAGATGCCAATATGACGTCACAATGTCCGATCAGCCATTTTGATCTATAAAATCATATTTACAACTTATGTGCTTTCAGAATATGTAATAAAAATTGGGGGTCACCTTTCAACCTAAGGAGCTATAACTGATTAAAAATAGGTCTGATTTTAGCAATTTCACTGTATAGGGGTACAAATACGCGCAAAGATACCTATGTTTGATGCGCACGTACGGCATTGCTATTGGCCAAAAGATGACCGAAAAGAAAGGAAGTTTGTGAAAACAATGTCAGGAACCCAATATATGTGAAAAAACATAGTGTCTAGCTTTGGTATGTGCTGTGCGCGTCAAAATGCGCGCGTGTAGTGGAAAATTTAAAAAAAATTTGAAATGCTCAAAATGGCCTAAAACGTGCTCTAATTTAGTTAAAAAGTGATTTCGAGCATTTTAAAATTTTGACGCACGCGTGCGCGCGCATTATGAAACGCACNNCAACATTAACCCGAAGTTAATGCTCACTTAATACGATTTCGAAATGGCAATTGGTTAGGCTGATATGATCGATAATGTAAAAACGCAAAATTGCACGTACATGACGTCATGCATGACTGAGCGCGTTGAAAAGCTTACCATGACTATTCCAGACCAAGCCAAATGTTCGCTGAGAGCGATTGTGCGTAAACTCGTGGCATTTTTTGAGATATCGTGCGAACAAAAAAGGGGAGAAAGAAAGAAGAATAAGAAAGTTGAAGATGATGATTCCGTACAATAACAATAGGTGATCCGCTAACGTTAGCGGATCACCAATAACAATAATAACAATAATAATAATAACAATAATAACAATAATATTAACAATAACAATAATAATAATAATAATATAATATTTATCTCTGGGTGGAGAAATGCAACCGTAGAAAAAGCGCCTTGACCAAGGACACAAGCATGAGTTTCAAATCCCTGACCTCGAGATGCGCCAACCGCTTCTACATTTGGGATTTACCCATACTGTATATGAGCATGAGCATTTTACACCCACTGGCAATATGGACATGATGATGTCATATCACATCAATATATGAGCATGAGCATTTTACACCCAATGACAATATGGACATGATGATGTCATATCACATCAATATATGAGCATGAGCATTTTACACCCACTGACAATATGGACATGATGATGTCATATCACATCAATATATGAGCATGAGCATTTTACACCCACTATCACATCAATATATGAGCATGAGCATTTTACACCCACTGACAATATGGACATGATGATGTCATATCACATCAATATATGAGCATGATGATGTCATTTCATATCCAATGACAATATGGGCATATTAGAGGTATTTGTCACACAATGCTTAAGAAAAGAAATAAATTAACATCAAATTCAACAAATCTTATAACTAATAAAATTTAACTAAATATATAAACATAATGAACTATGATTAAACTCAACAATGAACCAAAAAAAAAATCCAATTTTTTGTGATACATATAAATAAGTATTTGTCGATTGAAAGCTATATTATCAGTCTTCTACAAGTCATTCCAGAAAGTCTGCATTTCAGTACTTGGAGTATGTATTATACTTTCTTATCTGAGATTAATCAGTGGACCTTTTGGTTTTTTAGTGTCACATCATCCTGTTGATTTGTCACCATTTATTTATGACAATACTTGCTCAAGCATAGTATGTACAATCAATGCTAATTAGCATAACTGCAAATGACCATATGGCAATATAAGAATTTAACACATGTCTTAGACAGAAAAGCTTGATTGTATCACATAACCTAAATGGCCAATAGGTTCTTATGGCAATTGTTAAGAATGTACACTAAATCCATCCAATTACTGACCAGGTATCTTATGACTTTCATATTTGCACCATTCATAAAAATAGAAATCAGAATACTATCCACTCATCAAATATTTAATAACAACTGTAAAGTAATTGCTTTTCTTGAACAGATATGCATAATTCATGCAACCAAGTGCTAGCACATTATCTATTGTGAATTCAGTTCAGTCACAGATACTAATCATTGTGAATAAATAACATGGTTTGGTAAAGCTATCAAGCCATATGCTATATAATATTTACCCTCAAAATTTACAAATTCATTGGCTATTACATCTGATAAATTATGTGCATAATATTTGCATATACTTATGTATTTACTAACTGCTTACAAAGCAAATCCAACATTCCAGTTTTTATACTTAACATTACACAATTTTTCATTTGCTACTCAAAGTCATGTGCATAATATTTACATATCATTATATCTTTACCTTGGTAAATGATCCAGAATGTTTTTCAACTCCTTACAGAGCAGATCCACCATTCCTGTTTTAACACTCTGATATGTAACATCGATTATAAAAATAAACGCAGGTGCTTTGGAAACTCATTATTCTAAAACAAAATGTGAGGAAAAAATTCCAATATGAATGCAACAAATCCAATCAAATTTTTAAAGCATCAATACTGAAAAAAAAAAAACCTACGTGTAATTGAATCTCAAAATTACATCCGTACGTGGATGAGAAGTCTAATAGTAAGTCAATAAGTCTTGTATTTTTAACTTTTAAACAATTGAACTTGAAGTATGAATGTATACCTACATATCTGGGGCGTTGGTTGGGGGAGGGGGAGAGATGTGTGAAAAATGAGAAGGTGGAACTATATTGCAGAATGCAGAACTAAATCTCAATTCCATTCAAAACGTTCATTTTTATTATCTTAACCCACTTGGAACTAATTTGCTACTCCTGCACCCCCAGCCTATGCTCATGCATACAAGAAAACTAAATTTTAAACATTAAGGTAACTTACTTTACAATAATCTGTTGTGGCTAGGAACTCATAAGCACCAAGGGAAAGCTCAGCTCGTTCGTACATGTCAACTCTTTTCCCCATATGATCTACTGGTTGGAAATATTCTGGCGGAACTGGAAATAAAAGAGTAGGGGGAGGGATTATCAGCTATGCTCAATGGTAGATACTACAAACTGTAATACAATTGTAATATATAATAATCTTAAATATATATTTTTAATTCCATTTTGTTTAAATTATTCTCGCAACACAGTGCTGAATTACAAGATAAAAACATGGTACAGTAGGTCAGAGGGTCAGCTGTGTTCAGAGACCTGGTACCAAAGGATACAGAGAATGAGCAATACCTTAAGATAAACAAATAATGATGACAAAAATAATAATAATTATTAATAATAAAGAAAATATTAATAATAAAGAAAAATCAGCATCTATTAGTAGATAAATGATGTAAATATATAAATATATGTACTTAGAAATGAGAAAAAATTTATTGTTATTATCATTATCATAATCATATCAGAGTCAATTGAAAATACCTTCTGTACACAATTGCAGAAGTTACACTGGAACCGATGACCACCATCAACAAATTGCATAAATGGACACATGTAGGCTTTACAACAATTGCACCTGATTGGTCTATTTGGTCCATGGTCAACTAAGGGCGGTGGATACTAAAACAACAAAACAGGTTATTAACACTGAATAATCTTATTGAAAATGTAAGCATCCTAGGATTCTAATGTCAGTGACTGGTTGCATTGATGTTGCTGTACTGACGCAACAAATGGAGTTCAGACTCTCAACCTTAATGACGGGGGTTCAAATCTTTGTGCATTTTGCTCTGTCCTAGTCACTTTCCCTACATTTGTCTCTTTCCACACAGGAGTATAAATGGTTAAGATATTATTGCATTTAATGTATTATTATGTATTATTAGTGTATGTGCAAGGCAACACAACTACATATACTATACAAGAAGACAAAGTTGCACAAAATCACTTCAAATGAATACTTCACAGTGAGCACTGTAAAGTATTATTTTGTTGCAGACAAAAGTACAATCCAAATCATATTTTGTGACAAAATATCTCTCCCATGGTAAGGCTAAGGCCTACTAGTCCTGTGCTGTACTGTACTTTGTAGCATAGGCCTACCTCACCACACTGAGAGGCTGAAAATTTGAACTCTCTGAATTACAACTTTTCTCATTTATAAACCCTGTTCGGACAGAAGGGGAAGTAATTGGGAGATGTCACTGTTGAACCAATTAACCAATGCATAAATGCTCTTACGTTTTTTTGGACAGATATAAATTTGTTGGTAATAAATTTAAGAATTGTCATATTAAAATTTAGTAACATTTTAGACAAATATTAATTATTATCAATATCGTAATCTTACCTCATTCTCTGGTAGCTCAGCAAAGGGAGATTCTACTAAAGCCATAAGAAGCTGTGACTGTTCAATCATATCTTGGGTATAGGGTAAATTGTACATAGTTGATCTAAGCATTCTTGGACTAGCATTTCCTGGGGGAATTCAACAATGTGTGTTTAAATTATTAAATCAAATTCAACTTATGACAAATAAATAAACCAAAGTACAATAATGTAACCTGTCTGAAATTATTCTGTTGAGATTTTTAAAGTTAAATTACTGGTTTGAATAGAGTTTAATTTCAACTGGCTTGTAAATTTGTAGTGTATATATATATATTTTAAATAGTTATTTAGACAATTACTAAAAACCAAATATAGGATTGTTTTAAGTGCAAATCCCTTGTATTGATTGCAATGAAGTAGATAATAACCTCCAATAATAATTTTAATTGAAGTATAGGAATAAAACATTAAAACATTACAGAAGAGATTAATTTGTTTTTTTACCCAGAGGTAACGGAACTAGGGGGTACTGAGTTATGGAGAGTAATGTGTGACCGGAAATGGTCTGCAATCAGTTGGTTGTTACCATGCGCCAGTGATGTTGGAGTACAGCAACACATGAAACTATTTATGTAATGCATGAATAAAGTTTGGGGTTTGTTGGGTAGTGAAATGATTATTCTACATTTTAAGTGGTCCAGTTACTCCATGCATAAGTGTAAGCTAAATTACAGTGAATAATTAACAAAGATATGGAGACAATTATTTCGAAGTTCCATTTTTCCAAGAGGGGATGCAAATGCTTTGTGAAAATGAGTATGCCGCGGTACTCATTATCACATAGTACTACATGCAGCTGATTAGCTAACAATATGCAAATGTTACATGAGCACCTGGGAAGGTGCAATATCATGTTCTGTTGCCTAGCATACGTCTGTACTGTAGCGTGGGGTGGGGGGAATGGTAAGAATAAGTTGGTTAGCCAACAATATGCAAATGTTAAAGAAAACCTAGGAAGAATAGCACATCATGTTCTGTTGCCTAGCCGACTGATGTACTGTGTAGCGGGGGATTGTGAGGCTATTTATTAGTAAGGCTATGCCTAGGCCTAATTAGACAGTGCAGTTATACAGTGTAGGTGTATACTAAGTTGAGGCTTGCCATCCCAAAACCAGCATCAATAATCAAAAAATTAAAATGTACTTAATATATTCTTATTCTCCACATTATGCTTTAAAATTATTGGTATTTTATTGGGATCAACTTACTAATTGCCAAAGTTATGAGTAAAAGTATTACGGCTTGTCTGTACTAAAGTATACAATACTGGCACATTCTTATGCCAAATACTGCAAAGTCCAGCTTAACAATTAGCGACAGTACGCTGGTTTTGGGATCGCAAGCCTCATTCCTTTTATTTTTATGTACTGTAAAGCAGGGTGCTTACTGCACCTGACGGTTGTCAGCCAACCCGATTCTACAAAGAACGCGATGTCAAGACATGCGCGCAATGGATAGTTTTAATGATGATCCGTCGTGACTGCCCCGATAATCAGCATTGCGTCGTATAGCCCTGATATGGAGCAGAGATTGATTCATTGTATGTGACTACTGTAATGTAGTATTAAGGTTCAATGGTATTAACTTGCATAACCATTGGAATCGATACCTTTCACCTGATAACTGCCTTAAATTGGATTGACAGTTTTAATGGTCAACTTGAGTATACAGATAATCTAATAATATAACTGGACTTTGTATAACTTTACCCTAGTCAGTTGGACTTGGCCTTTCTCACACTATGAATCTATAGGCTCTGAAGTTTGTGATACATCTTAATTAGTAGTTTTTTGGTAAACAAGTTACTAAATCATAGAGAAAGAATTTCTCTATGATCCAATCAGAAACTCTAAAATTATGGGGTGACTTACTTGAGACACACCCCATTACATAAAGTATAATAGGCAAACACCCCCATATCACGGAATCAGTCAGTGACCAGTAACCAGTAATCAGCAATGGTCAGTAATCAGTAGTCAGTAGTATTCAGTATTCAGTAGTCAGTAGTTAGATTCAACACAGAAGAAAAGTACAGAGCTGAGCTGACTCCACTCTAAAAGGGTTCTCTAACATCTGAAACCTGGAGTTTAGCTGATTGTAACCAACGTACAGTTTGTGTTAATAAAAGTTTGCAGTGTACTAAAGGAACTGTGTCATATTACTCATTAAAGTCACCAACAACCAACCGATATATAACATGGCGGAAGACCCTAATCATTGATTTCACGGTACCTCCTCTCCAAAGTGAGCACATATCGCCAAACATGGAAGACGCACTAAACGATACCCGAATTGCGGTTAAGCAGATTGTTGGTCCTGTCTGGATGACTAGAATGGAACTGAACTAAAATTTTTCTTCATATACCGCAACTAACTAACAAGAATTGAAACCCATGAGAAGTAAAACAAAACAACAGGCATCCACATTACAGGAAGAGAATTGAAACGAAAAAATAATTTACGAAAAAAAAAATAATCGGATTTGTGACAAGCTGACCAACGAACACCATGTTCGGATTCGAGACAAGCCGACAGATGACAAAGATTTTAGGATTCGAGACAAGCCGACAGATGACAAACTTATTAGGATTCGAGACAAGCCGACTTCACTTGGACTTCACCCCATGACGATGGAAAACGCTCCATACTTTTGAACTTTAGGCCAACGTTAAACTTTGAACATTTAACATTTAACTTCGAACATTTAATTTCCCTTACTGAACTTTTGTTTGCATGGAATTTGCATTTTGTTTATCAAGAATGAAGTAAATGGGTAAGTTGAATACATTGTTAAATTCCATCATTGTGAGAAAGAGTTTGTTTATATTTTTATCCCTCACTAAAAAATTGGTTTTAATTTAATAATTATTTTTTTTCATTAATTTGATTTTATTACATCAACCACGTTTTTTTTGTAGTGCGCAAAATTTTTTTTTTCAAACAAGTAAAGGTCAAGATAGCAAAATGTTGAATATTAATACAAGCACATTTTAATCGATACCTGATTGATTTAGATATCAAAACGCAAGTATAAACATCAATACTATAGCAATTATTCAGCACAGATTACGTTAACGGACTGTTGATTTTGGAGAATCGCACATGTATACCAATTTGTATAACCAGTTTCAATTGCACATAGCCAGGCAATTTTTGAGGTTATTAAAGCTAGAAAGATAATTGATATAAATAAATTCATTGAATAATTTAATTAATTTACTGGCCAGAAGTTTTTTAAATTATAAGATGTTTAATTGATGTGACTTGAACTTGTAGAGGAAAATTATTCGATTATAAATTGCGATGATAACCGTTCACTTACTAATTGCATCACTCGTAAACACACTTCAAAATTTGAGAACATTGAATTTTATTTACTTATTCCCAAATTTAATTTATCGTGTAAACATGGAATTATACTGAAATCTTGAAATTGATACGAATATTGAATTTAAATATTGAGAACTTGAAATTATATTGCGTGAATACAGAGCGTAATGATTTAAGTACGATTTATATTGACATGTTGTCTAATGATTTAAATCGAGTTTATAATTTTATGATGAGGAATACAACAATTTTGTTTATGATTTAAATGTAGTAAAGCGATTAATGAATTATTGAATAATCCAAGCTTATATTGCAACACTAAATGAACAAGCTTTATTACTTGTTGAGTTGTTAATGCCATGCAAGTTTAATGAAGGATATGTAATATGAGGATAAATTCGTCAGTTTAAATGAATACTGAATACAAGTTCATATGGGTACAAAAAATCCAAATTTACATAATTTTACTTGTAATGAAATGCTTAGGATAAATGTATGACAAATGATTTATATGAAATATGCGATGATATTAAACGATAACAAGTTAAAGTGCATATGTATATTGCTAGTAAACACGACTAGATGAATTCAAGTCTACGTGTAATAGAAGCAATTGATTTTTTTAGGAGATAAGTAAGTAAATAATGTTAAGTTAAATAAAAGTTAATTTAAGTTCCTCCTCATAAAGTTATTTTACTTTTAAATATTTTTATATTGCGTCGGATATGACAAGACTAGACGTTTAAATACAATCTAATGTTAAATCGATAACTAAGATACATGCCAAAACAAAAACCGTATTAGATTGATTAACCTCGAAAATCAAAAATGTTATTCATTTGTATTTTTTTAAGAAAAGAATGGAGAAAAAGAGAGAGTGAATATGAGTAAATGATGGAAATTGGCACGTATTCATCTTGCACCACTTGTATTATATGCTATGATTTTTTATGTTTAACGATTTAAAATTTTTTTTAATGAATTGTTATATTGCTTTATGCCTACTACACATAGTAGTACATTTTACCTTATGTTATGATGTTAAAAAAAAAAAAAAAAAAAAATTAATTGAAAGGGATGTAATGTAGTATTAAGGTTCAATGGTATTAACTTGCATAACCATTGGAATCGATACCTTTCACCTGATAACTGCCTTAAATTGGATTGACAGTTTTAATGGTCAACTTGAGTACTGTATACAGATAATCTAATAATATAACTGGACTTTGTATAACTTTACCCTAGTCAGTTGGACTTGGCCTTTCTCACACTATGAATCTATGATTGGCAGTTTTGAGCCTAAGCTCTGAAGTTTGTGATACATCTTAATTAGTAGTTTTTTGGTAAACAAGTTACTAAATCATAGAGAAAGAATTTCTCTATGATCCAATCAGAAACTCTAAAAGTATGGGGTGACTTACTTCAGACACACCCCCATTACCTAAAGTATAATAGGCAAACACCCCCATATCACTGAGTCAGTGACCAGTAACCAGTAACCAGTAATCAGCAATGGTCAGTAATCAGTAGTGAGTAGTATTCAGTAGTCAGTAGTTAGATTCAACACAGAAGAAAAGTACAGGGCCGAGCTGACTCTACTCTAAAAGGGTTCTCTAACATCTGAAACCTGGAGTTTAGCTGATTGTAACTATGTACAGTTTGTGTTAATAAAAATTTGCAGTGAACTAAAAGGAACTGTGTCATACTACTCATTAAAGTCACCAACAACTAACCGATATTCAACACTACCTAGCTCAAGACAATAAGCAGCTTTCGATTTGGACGACGCAGCGTTCTACGACGGGCAGTGGAGCGTGAAACTGTACTGCGCATGCGAATACATAGGGAAGTCGTTCGTGGATTTGACAACAGGCTTCAAGCAATTTGACGTTGTGTTGACTACGGCAACGCCAGTTTCATAAATACATGCTCGCTGGGGGTGCCTGCATAACTGATCACGGGATATGAGGGAGCGCGTCGTCCTTTAAATCAAAACAGCTCTGATGTTGAGACGGGAAGTGCATAGTATGACGTTCATGTTTGACTGAATTCCACGTTGCAGCTCCCCGCGTCGCCCATTTCGAAAGCTCGCTATTACTTTTGATAGTGAAACTTGTACAGCATCACTTCTCTATTTATAAATGGAAATGTGAAGTAGCTGTTGTAATGAACAAAAAAAGAGTTTACTACTTATGGTTATTATCCGACAAGCTTATACCAGTGGCTATTCAATCTGACCAAGCGGATACAAACAGGAAATGATAATATGAATAATAACCATGACAAAATACCAAGGTCTTTATTGAACAGTTGGGCCAATGTTACCAATTCAAACTCTAGTCTGTTTAAAGAACCAAACACTAAACATGCACAAAGACTGCAATGAAGAAGGAAGTTATTCCTACACACAGTCAATTTAGAGATCTCAGTGGTCTTTCTTCAACAAATTTTGTATTTGTTAAATACAGTGTAATGCAATGTAGTTGGGTTTTTATAGCACTTCATAACAAAGGTTGCGTTTATAATACACACTTGCTAGAAACACGGAGCTGCCGTTACGCAACGTATTTCATTGCCCGCGGCCGATCCGTGTTAGGTTTACGTTCATACATGTAATCTGAACACGGATTAGACAGGAAGTGAAGTACTCGCGAAAAGCCTTGTGGGACGGAAGGTCGAAGTAAGTATGATATTTGTTTACAGAATTTAATAATTTCGTCCGAACCAAGCCAAGTAACAAGAAGAAATGAGTTGGTACAGGGCAAAACATTGTATTGGATAGAAAAAAAATCCATGGGAGGTAAATAAACTATAGTTAGCACCATGCGTCTCACGATAAATAGGCGGCTATTAATGAGGCAGATCAGAAGATTGTTGGCGCTAAAAAGATGCATTATTGTTTGTTCTAAGGATTAATTAAAAGATTAGTGTTTATAAAACAAAAGCACTGAAGCGCCCTGTTGGTGAAAATCAAATGAAGAAGTGAAGGTAGGCCTAGTATAGGGTATACTGTAGGTAGACTGGCAGCTAGCACTCCGGTGCGTATCACGATGATTTCAGCGGATAAGAAAGCCTTGGAAAAGACTCTTTTCGTGAAAGGTATATATTATGCCTTCTCAGCAGTAAATTAAGATATAAAATTATTGCTTAATAACGGCCTTATTAACAATAATTATTTTCCTATATCATTCTGGTTGTAGGCCTATTATAAATGCCCATCCCATCTTGTTAGCGCCTGTCAACAGAAAGAAAGCTATTGAATTACCACCCACTGTTTCAAGAGAGGTCAAACTTATGCCTGGAGGCTACAAGTTGGTACTTCCAACACGGCAAGTTTGGCGAGTTCGCAAGTCCAGATGGTATTGTAATCACACGTAATCCAGACCGTTTATACTACACACATCAGAGAAGCCGTGTTCGTCAATCCGTGTTCAGAGTGTAATATAAACTGGCCCTAAGTCTCAACACGTTCGAGTGTGGACTAGCTTGAACGCTCGAACCACGAAATGAATTAAAAACTAGTTGATTATAATTTAATCATATCAATAGCACACCCCATTATACAGTTATGGGCGAGTCGAGTGGCCGAGCGGTAAGGCGGGGTGCCGTTAGCTACAGCCTTTACAGGCACTGGTTCCAGCCACTCCTCGCCTATGGTTCGGTTGATGGAACCAAGTCTTCTCGGATAAGGACTTAAAATGGAGGTCCAGTGTATACATCTGGCTTGTGAGCACTTTAAAGTCTCCACTTCACATCCCTAGCGCTGAGTTGGTTTTCATATTAAAAATAAAATTCTTAACATTTTTTTAAAATTTTCGGGGAGGGGGAGTTTAATGTATTCTTTACATCATGGTATGTCCCTGAAGATACATAATTTTAATTTTTCCCACTTTTTACTTATCTTTCATTAACCTATTTGTATTTATAACATGAATAACTAACAGAAAGGTAGACGAATATTGTATCATATCACGGCATTGACAAAAAGCCCTATGTTCTGTTTTACAGACATGGAAAAAGTCTAGTTTTAAATTTTGTTGCTCAAGCAACTAGTTTTGGGCTACTAAGTGTACAGATTTGGTTCTACTGTAGAGGCATTTTTGTAAAGACAATCTTTCTAATACAATATTTTTGTGCCAGGATGATATCTTAATGGTTTACAGTACTGTAGCTGTGTGTTGTAAGAATATTCTTACCTTAGATACATCAGAAAAAAATCCTTTAGCCAGTGGTTCTAAGACAAAATCATCCAAACGATTGAGCTTACTAAGTGCTGACACGACAGCCCCATATCCAGGTGATAACGGAGTCCGCCCTGCAATACTGTAACGGTGCCTTAAAGGGGTCTGATTTGCATTCTTTTCTCTAAAATGTTTTCTTTGGTTCTCGTTACTGACATCCTGTTTGAGGCTGGTGGAAGGTGGAGGTGAGAGCTCTGTTGCCGAATCAGCTTGCTCATTGTGTTCAAGCATCATAAGCCTCCTTTCTCAATTAACTCTTCTTTATTGACGCTCTTGTCTTTCTAACATTGTAACTTGTTTGGCAGCTAGAAATAAAAGTAAGATCAGGAAACAAATGAATCATCCACAGAAATAAAAAATCTCTGAGTGGATACTGCATGATGTGCATCTGATATGAAACACAATTATGACAAGCAACAAACACTAACTGTTGATTGGTCAAATCCTATTGTTGTTGGGAGGAGGGGATTGGAGTTTTAGGAAACAGATTCTGCTAGGGCATATAGAAAAATTTATTAGATTATCACTCCCACCAATGTCAAAAATTTTGGAAATATTGATGAGGAAACAATTTTTTATTTTTTTTATTTATCTATTTATTATTTTGGTCGCATCATTTATTTTAACTGCATAAAACAACATTACAATTTTAAAACAAATGCTCACAAAATATAAAGGGATTGGCTCCGAATTCGGCAAATTTCAAACTCTTCCAATTGATTAGACCAGACATTGGGATCACCGTAAAGTTGAATACAAAGCCCATTCTTTAAATTTGTAGTTCACTATCACTAAAAATAAACAGCTCACTACGGCGGCTAAAAATAGGCAACACCGCGGTCCGTCCCTACACAGACCCGCTCGGTGGGCTGATCAGATCCTTGATTCACAGCGTGAAGGCTCACCCACACAGAGACTCTTGCTGCTAAAAATAACTTGTTATCATTCATTACAAGTGGGCGGTCTTCCTTTGCGATGGGTGTGTTTGGTTAGATTGATTGTTGTAACCTTCGACATTGAGAAAGAAAGTTTAGGTAAAGGCTGGCCTAGCTCGAGGTAAAGACCAAAGCCTTGGGGTGTTCCCTTGCCTTTGATGCTCGAGTAATGTCCGATTTTTTCACCGGAATATTGTTTTGGAGATGCCATTGAATTGCAGGGCAATTGTTAAAATGCATCTGCCAAAAGAGATGTCATTTTCGTCCTGTTCATGCACACAGGAACACCCAGGTATAATCTCACCACCCACCCCTCCCTTCCATGCAAAAAAAAAAAAAAAAAAAAAATTTTTCTGTAATGCATAGGCCTATTTTAATACACTACTTAGATAGGCTTTTCTTTTTCCATCTTGATTTCAGAGGTCAAAAACTTTTTTCAATCATATAGTGGTGTAGACTAGTCTTTTAAGAACATTTTGCTAGAAGAATTTTTTGGATATGACACCCCGTTATGGAGTTATGATTTTTTAAATAACATGATGTCAGAAAATCAGCCCAAAAGCTTATCTTATTTCTGTTGGTTACGCATTGCTGATTCGCAATGTTTGTCATCATTTTAAAATGTCTACCGATTCGTGAAAAAGGCCTTACACAGTAGCTGAGGCCTATAAATGCAGAGTAAAAAAAAAAAGTTTCCACTATCCTAACTAAGCATGCCTTCCCTAGGCCCTATGTGTACTGTAGGCTAAATAATAGAAGGTAGGCCAAGGCCTAGCCTGCTGTAGGCTAGGCTCGTTCATATACAATTTCTTTTGCTTTCTACCGGTCCAGAAGTTACAAGCAAGTACAGTAATACAGTATGCCCCCAGGCGTAGGCCTATAATCTCATTGCACTGGTGATAAATACCCATGCGTAGGTACCAGACCTAGCCTAGAACTAGCCTACTCTAATACTACTACCCATACCTAGACCTAGTCTAGGCTTAACTTAGGGCTTACCTAGGGCCCTAGCTAGGCCTAGGGCCTAGGTCCTAGTCTAGGCCCAGGCCTAAAAAATAAGATCAATATACAGTAAGGCCGGCCCTTTTCCTATGCACATCGTTGTGGTTGGTTGCATAATTTGGTACACGAATAATGAAAGTATACATTATTATAAGGAATGACCATACCTTTGCCTGGTGGCCCAAAAACCGTAAATAAAACCAAGCCTGGCTACAAACTTGAAAGCTTACAGATGCATTTGTTTCGTTCGTGTTGTTTTTTGACTAAATGCCCCGCCGCCGGTCGAAGATAGCATAGAGGGCGCGGTAATACTTTTCAAGAAAATTGAATGCTTGCCTTCTCTAGTCCCGCCACACACTTTCATACAACTGTTAAAAATATTTTTTCGTTGCAGATCGAGCTATCCTTGATACTATTGAAATATATGTTCCTATAATTGAGCAATATTTCTATTATTTGTCTATTTTGTTTATGAATAAATGTATAATGAATGTTGCTGCGAAAAACTGTGATTTATATAATTATAGGCCCATATGGACAATCAATTGTTAAAAAAAAAAAAAAAAAGGAGCAATGTTTTAAATATTGTATCAGAAGTACGGTAGCCTATACAGCGAAAAAGGTCTTTAAAAATTGTTTGAAAATGTGTTTCCAGTGGAATCTAACCCAAATTTCTCTCTATTCAAGGCGAGTGCTATACTGTATTTAATCGCAATACGATCCAGCCAAGGACACTTTCAAAATGTAAGCATGGAGGAAATATATTGACATATTTCCTCCATGCTGTAGTGGGGATAAAGTAAAGCTAGAGGTTACAGATGTTATTATGACATAACTAAAAGTTCTTTATCAAAATCTCATAAACCGCTAGATCTCAGGCCTGTTTGTATATTGCATGTAAAATCCAGCCATGCACTATTAACAGAAGAAACATAGGCCTAGTGAAGCCTTTGGTGAAAGCTGTAATGAGTAATAGGCTGAGGCCCTCCATTTAGGAAAATGTGGCGGATTTGGTCTCTCATCCCAATCCCTGTATTATACAAATAATGCATGTTTATGAGTGTCAACTATTAAGATAAAAAAACACGCTATCTCGCAAATCAAACAGAAATGCTGTAATTAATTTAGGGCAGTTTTTAATGCAAAATGTAAATACTGAAATAGTTTTAACAAAACAACCATTTACATTTTTACTTATTTTTTACTCTATTATGTTTTAAAAGTATTGTTCTTACCATTTTTTATATCTTAATACATTGTTTTAAACTGATAAATTTTAACCTTGTAATTTTATACTTTTAAAATTAATAATTGTATTAACATTATGCAATTTTAACCTTTTTATGCAAAGTAACCCTTTGAGTGAACTTTATTTCTTTTGTTTTTTTTTTCTCAAGGACCTCATTGGAAATAAGACGTTTTTATACAAATTTCATGGGCTCTCCTAGTATAACATCGCATTTTATTGAGTTTAATTTTAATCTTTTTCCCTATTTTAAATATGTTTTAACTTTAAGAAAATCATTGTTATTTGCTATTTATTGTTATGATGTTGCGGTATACTGAATAAAGTCAAGTCAAATCAAGTCAAGTGCAATGAAAAGAATATTTTCATGAGTTGAAAGACTGACTGTCAATCTTTTAACAATGAAAATATTCTTTCCATAAACCCGGGCTAATAGAGGGCCACAACAGGCCTCCAGCCGCGTTCACAACTCATTTAGAGTGGTGCACGGTGAGTTACGGTGGGTGGGTGAACAAAACTTTTATTATTTGATCAAAGATCCTTGTCATTTGATATTTTAAGAAAAAAGTTAGGTCTATTCTTTTGAATGGAGCAGTCCACCTTGTTTTAGCTGAATACTTTGTACATTGTACTTTAAGGGCAAAACGAATAGATCAAAGCATGCATAATAAATGGAACTAAAATGTTCATGACGAGTGAAGAAATGGTGTAAATACAGTAACCTATGTTATGACACGGGTTTAGGTGTGTATGTTTATGAGTGCAATGGAAAGAATATTTCCATGAGTTGAACGACTGATTGTTGCATTAAACGAGGCGGAGTCGAGTCAATCAGTACACGTTTTACACAGCAACGTACAATGCCGTAGCCAGGATTTTCAAACAGTGCGGGACAATATCAGGGTGGACCCACTTTACGCGTAAATTCAAACGATGTGGACCCATTTTACGCGCAAAATATGAATCTGGACCCATTTTCTTAAATTTTACCCATACGCTAAATATGAGAAATCTGGACCCATTTTTCAAAAAATTAACCCATTTTATGCATAAAATTACATAATTTGGACCTATTTTTAAAAATGTGGACCCATTCTTTGTGAACCCATTAGAAAAATTGTGTGGGACTGTCCTAACTGTCCCAATAGCTGGCTACGGCATTGGCAACGTATGTATAATAATAATTTATTCGGATATACACTTTTATATCAGTGGCACTCAGCCGCGTAGGCGGTGCATCCATAACAAAGAAAGGCCTAAGAAAAAGATTCAACTCTACCACAGAAATATATACAAGTTAAGAATACCCAAGTCGAATCCAAATTGGCATTCTTTTTAAAGAAATCGTAAAAATTTGACTTCAGATTGTTAATTAATGAAAAGCACAACAATTTGCCATGTAGAATAATATCGACTTGCTAATTATTTGATTTCGGCAAAGTCGACTTATAAGCAAGTTGACTACAGCAAAAGAACAAACAGGAAACGAGTACCATCAAAAAAGGAAAAATATGGAAAAACAGGATTAAATGATTCTAAATAGAGGGGACACACTTGGTAATCAACTACCGGTACCTGTCTTCAGAATGGAACAGTTTACCTTCTTTCATTCAATGCAAACATTTTATTAGGTGCGTGCAATGGAGCGCAACGGATGGAACAATTAAGTATAATCATAGAGAAAATCTGTTCTATTTTCTCTATGGTATAATGGGACTAAAAATGCACGGATGGAGCTTAATTTGACGAAATAATAACCAATGTCACATGATACGATATCAACCAATCAAATGACAAGGATCTATTTAATACTTAATATTTATTTACTTAATATCTACACTCATCAAATGTGGCGTTGATAAGATTGTGCATAAGTCCATGAAGTTAATATAATCGACCCTCCTAATATTTACGTTTTATCCGGAGCCAGCTTAATTATAATAAAAATAATAATAGACTAGCAAAAAAATCAAAAAAGAGGCCTAGAAATCAAGTTAGGGGGAGTGGAATGTTAAAAGCAGTCAACATAGCCAGATATCCTAATTAATCCGTCCTGGTCACCCTAAGCCCTGTTGACACTTGATTTTTCACCTGGTATACAAATGGTCGCCAAATTTATCTAAAATGTGAATATAATTGGAACTAAATAAGTTACAGATATGATGTTGGTGTCTAAAATCATAATTTCTATACAGGCAACAAACCAGACATATAAAAACTACTGTCACAGTCGTGTTTGGTATCGTTGGAAAGCTCTTCCGATGCTGAATAATGTATTTCAGTTTATATATCAGAAACGGTGTAGTGTTTCATGTATTGTCCAATAAAGTCCAATTATTGCATATCATATTAAATAAACAAGACCCATTTGCGTAACTCGTGAGCTCTCGGATGGCGGGTGGGGTGGGGGGGGGGCGCTCCTACTACTATCTAAAACATTACTACCAAGCCTTAAGTAACGCATGTGCTTTCTGGGCGAAGTCCGAGTCCAAATGGGCCCTGGAGAGGGTTAGTTACTTTTACTTACAGTAACACTGATACTCAGCACTCTCCTACAAGGCCTTAACAATACGTAAAATTTTGTATAATTTCCGAAAAAACCAAATAGACCAAAATCCCACAAACACAATATTTGGCAGATTTATTAGAAGGGGTTCTTTAAACTATGCCCCTGGATGCCCCACTATGGAGGTTT